AAAAGCCCAGGACCAGGCAGATTCATAGCCCAATTCTACAAGAGGTACAAAGAGGGGCTGGTACCATTCCTTCTGAAACTATTCCAAACAATAGAAAAAGAGGGAATCCTCCCTAACTCATTTTATGAGGCTAGCATCATCCTGATACCAAAACCTGGCAGAGACACAACAAAAAAAGAACATTTCAGGCCAATATCCCTGATGAACATTGATGCGAAAACCCTCAATAAAATACTAGCAAACTGAATCCAGCAGCACATCAAAAAGCTTATCCACAACGATCAATTCGGCTTCATCCCTGAGATGCAAGGCTGGTTCCACATACGCAAGTCAATAAACGTAATCCATCATGTAAACAGAACCAGTGAAAAAAACCACACGATTATCTCAATAGATGCAGAAAAGGCCTTCGATAAAATTCAACAACCTTCATGCTAAAAACTCAATAAACTAGGTATTGATGGAACGTATCTCAAAATAATAAGAGCTATTTATGACAGACCCACAGCCAATATCATACTGAATGGGCAAAAGCTGAAAGCATTCCCTTTGAAAACTGCAACAAGACAAGGATGCCCTCTCTCATCACTCCTATTCAACATAGTGCTGAAAGTTCTGGCAAGGGCAATCAGAGAAGAGAAAGAAATAAAGGGTATTCAGATAGGAAGAAAGGAAGCCAAATTGTCTCTGTCTGCAGATGACATGATCGTGTATTTAGAAAACCTGTTCATCTCAGTCCAAAAATCTCCTTAAGCTGACCAGCAACTTCAGCAAAGTCTCAGGATACAAAGTCAATGTGCAAAAATCACAGGAGAACCTTTAAAGTTAAATCAGAAACTCTGCTGTAATTGTTCTGGTATAGGGCTGGGCGTTGGTGTTTGTAAAGCTCCATCATACGCTAAGCAGTATTGCTTATCTGTGTTACCAGTGTTGCTGATCTGCAGTCAGTCAGTTACAGTGTTGAGGAAATGCCAACGAGCCTATGACTGCAGCCTAGGTAGGGGCTTTGCAAAGAAGCTGAGGAAGGGAGGTGGAAGGGGAATTACCAAGGACAGAGTCCGCCCAGGCAGGCTCTTGTTCAGTTTATTTATGAACACTTGTGTATTTTGGTGGTCATTAGATAAATGTGCTGCTTTAAACTATCATGTTTTGACATTTTCACTGAATTCTTAATGTAAAAATCACTTGAGACATCTTAAACCAGCAAAAAGTTGAAACAAGCACAGCCTGTACCTTAGAGTTGTACTAAAACCTCAACACAGTCTTTTGGACCAATAATCCTAATACAGAAACTCAGCACGATTAAGGCATGTTTAAGCAAAAACCTTGTAATAGTAAGGAATGCTAAGAGCTTTAAATAGGTACTGACAATAGCCCTGAGATTCCCAGGGTATTTTGCCTCTTGGCTTTTCTTCCTGTGAATGCTGCTGGTCCACTGTTACGTACCCCAACTTTGAGAACACAGTAGAGAGTGGCTTTGAAGAAAACCTCATTTTTATTTTATATCTCAGGCTCTTTGCCCTGTGAAGTAAAAGTACTTTTATGTTCTCTTTGTGGTTTTATGAAAATTGTCTAGAAGATAAGCGATATTTCTGCACTGGGTGGCATGGCCTCTCTCTGGGAATGGTTCAACTCAGCTTCCTTCTTTAGCACGTCTGTTTTGAGCCTGCCATGTGCCATGTCCTGTGCTAGGCCCTGGAGAGGCAAAGACACCTCATCTATTAGGAGAATGGCAGGCACATGATGATAACATGACTTCATAAATGCCGTGAAAGATGCCTGGGAGCTGTCAGTGACTGGGAAAGACTTGCGAGGCAGTACCAGGCAGGTGGAGACCTGACGGATTCCGGGGAATTGTTAGCAAGTGGGGCATTTGGGCAGATGGCACAGCCTAGAGAGTGCTGCTCACTCACCGGGAGTCCCCGTGGCTGGGGTGGACAGGAATAGCGAGTGAGATTGCTGGATTCAGGGTTGAGCCCAGGGCAAAGGTACTATAGTTGGACTTAATGTGCTTCAGGGGAGGAGGGGTCTGGGGCCTACAAAGGATGGCCTGTCAGCTCAGCAGTCTGTGTGCTTTCTAGAGTATTGTCCCCTCTGCATATGTAAAATTTTGCCTGCATGATGTACTGTAGGGTCATCCGCACAGAATGGCAGCGCATTAAAGAGGGAATTCTCTGGAGGAAGCTACAGTGCCAAGCGGCAGCCCATGCCCTCCCCATCAGAGGGCTCTTTGTCCTCCGGAGGCATGGACCAAGGAAGTGATGCCCCGGCGAGGGACTTTGACGGAGAGGTGAGTGGGCAGGGTTCCGGAGACGTCATGCATCAAAAAGACTAGGTCGTCTTTCCAAGCAATCCCACCACCTTAGGATTGGCCTCAACTGCAGCAGGGGTCGGGGTCAGGGGCCAGCATTCACTCTTGGCCAGTGGGCAACTAGGTCAGTCACTTGGGTTGCAAACTGCAATTTTCCCAGAGGCATTCAGACTTCTGGCTTTTGTGTGAAAATACCATCATCTGTAAAGGCCTACAGAAAGGATGGAGCATGCATGTTCTGTGTCTCTTCCTCAGCTCATAGAAGGGGCTTTATACTGACAGCGAGGAAGCCCCATGGGGTTATTTGGTCAGGGTGGCTGGAGGGGGCGGTGGTAATCTGAGCTCCTTCTGCCTCCCTTTCTCCCCCTGCTTCTCATTGTTTTACTTTGGGCCTTACAGGACTCTGACTCTCCGAGGCATTCCACAGCTTCCAACAGTTCCAACCTAAGCAGCCCCCCAAGCCCAGTTTCACCCCGAAAGACCAAGAGCCTCTCCCTGGAGAGCACTGACCGCGGGAGCTGGGACCCATGAGCTGCCTCAGCACTGAGACTTCTCGCTCTCCGCTCCCTGCCACTCGCCTCTTCTCACTTTCATCTTTTCCCTCCACCTCAGCCTGAAAGCCACCAGGGGCTGGCAGCAGTAGCAGGACAGGGATTCAGGAGTTCTGACGACATGACTCTCAGATCCACGCCCCTAGCCTAACAGCAACAACAAAGACAGACTTTCCATAGCAGCTTAGATTAATGTTGATTTCATTCCATGCACTTAGAGTTGCTTTCAGTAACATTTTGCCCCTACTCCCAAAGGTAGCTTAAATAGATTACACAAATGTAAGTGATAAGAATAAGATTAGACAGATTTTGCTTTCACAGTAGAGTCTCATTATAGTCCTAAAATAGCTCATGGGATTCTCCGCATCCGGAAGGGAGAATCTGTCCCTGGAGTGGCTCACTAAGCTCTTAATCGGCAACCACAGTGAGTGTCAACCTGATTGTTGCCAGGAAATCCTTATGAATTAAAACAATGCATATTTTACTACAATACAGAGTTTAAATGAATACATAAATGTAGAAGTACTGAAAGTATATATTTAAAAGGAGCCTCTTGTATTCAACAAAAGATGGATGCATATATAAGAGAGATGATTTAATTTAAAGAAATACGTTGTTTCTTGTCTGTTTCCCAGCTAAGTAATGTAAAGGGTGGAAAGGCCTCAAGCTCACATTTTTAGAGGCAGAGCGAGAGAAATCAGAGTTCCCTTTATTGCCCTGTCCTCAAACTGGTCGTAGGCTCCAGTCACTCGGGGAGCTTTGGAGAACATTTGCAGAGCCTGGTTTTGCTGGTCTGGAGTGTGCCCTGGCACCAGAGCTTTAACATCTGAAGCCACTTCAGCAGCAGCAGCAGCAGCAGCAGGCTAACTCATCTCCACCCGAGGTGTTTCTTTTCCTAGTGGTAGAATTTGAACACTTCTCACTTTTTATTGTATTTTTATCTTCTGCAGATAAATGTAGAAATATATGATTCTGTCACCTCTGATCCCTTCCATCTGAAAGGGTGCAAGGAGTGTTGTAGCTTCTGAAGGTCCAGAAAATAGTTTCTAAAAATGCTTTTCTTCCTGGTCTCATCCTGTCCCTCCCCAAGTTACAGTGAGGTGTCTGTCCCAGGGCTGGAGACGGTTCCCAAGGAGGAGTCTGTTTTGTTGAGGGTGGGCATGAGCTTCTTCAGATAAGCCTGGGAAAGGAAGAAAAAAAGGCTTTCATTACCAAATAATGTAAAACCTCAAAAGCAAGGGCTTGAAGAGCCTTAACCAAATATTATTCCCATAGCCAGTGGAAAATGGACAATACAACCCCAGTGCACAGGCCAGAATGAGCCCAGCACGGCGCTCGGACTGGCCTCCTCTCTCAGGTGCTGGATTGTGGGGTTAGTGGCATTTTCAGCTGGATTCCTCCTGTTGTAGTTGCCGTAAGGAAATGAGATGCAGAATCAGAATGATCTATTTCTACAGAGTCATTTCACTAGTTAAGCACATGAGTAGAGAAAGAGATAAAAATAAAAATATCATGGAAGGAAAGAGATTTTGCCTCTCTTTTACTTTTCGCCTAAGTTTCTCTGAGAGAGACAGGATTCTCTCTTTAAAATTCAGTGAAAATGAAGAAAGTTTTCCTGCAGTTGCTAACCTGAGTTGCAGTGTTTAAGGCCATCATTTCACTGCTGCTGTCTGTGACTCCACCTCTGTGACACTGGCAGTAGCCCATGCTGGCCTGTGGCATGTGCAGGGAGCTGAAGCTGTTTCCAGGTGATGCTGCTGTGTGGAGAAGGTTCTGAGATGCAGTGAGGGAAGAAAGGATCCTGCTAGGGATTCCATTGCAAGCACCTATAATTGGGAATTTTCACGTAACAGCTTTGACATTTAAACATTCTGAGTTTGGTGCCGGCTCAGATTTGATTATATTTTGTTTTGGATGGGTGTAATTCACAGCACAGTTCTAATCTCCCAAATCTTTCTGCTTTTTAGAATGAAGTATAAAAATACTTTTGTCACCTGAATACCAAGGGTCAGCCCTTTAATTGGATCATTGTCATATGACTAGGTAGATCCTTGTCTTCAGCACTCCACGTGAGAGAAGGGAGTCAGCCAGCCGGCCCCCTGCCTGGTGCTCGTGACCAGCTCGCACCCCTTCTGTTCACCCTGCCCTCCTCTCCTCCCCACTCTCCCCACCCTCCCCTCCTCTCCTCCTCACTCTCCCCACCCTCCCCATCCTCCTCTTCCCTTTCCCCTTGACTTCTCTCTCCCTTCTCTTCTCAGGCAGGGAGGAGGCCATCCCAAGCTGAGATTAACAGGATAAATGGCTTATTGACATAAGCCATTAGTTTGTAGCTTTGACAAGTAATTGTGAATTGTTGTTGCCTATAGGTGCTTATTTTCCAAAGGATGCGTTTAGGATCAAAATATAACCCTACCTAAAGTCTAGGCTCTACTGCAATGGGTCATACCCTTCCACCTCCCAACAGGGCAGATGAGAGAGAACTACTGAGGCTTGTCTTGGTTGCCAGGCTAACTGGGCGGATTGTCCATATTCACTCCATGGATTGCACCACGGCGCTCTTTGATTTTTCCACTGCAATGGCAAGTCATCTCATCAGTCATAATAGAGCAGTCCCAAATGTGTGTAGATTCTAAAACCTGGGCTTTAGGGGAGAAACACTGCCAGGGGTAATAGTTTTGGGGAGGGTTTTCCCAAAATAATGGTCATCCTACTGGGTTTATCCCACCCTTAAATATGAAGCCTGTTACCTCCAGAAGCTTCTGAGAAGAATGATGTGAAAAGACAAGGAGTGAGTTCAGGGGAAAAAAACATAATGACCATTCAGAGGAGTCAGTAGCAAAGCTCACAGGTAAAGTATTTTATTACTATCTGAAGACATCCTTTGTTTTCATTCAGGACATTTTAAAAATGTATATGGCAGCAGACACTTGTTTCTCAATAGAAAAAAATACATTCAGAGGCATTTCTGAGATAGTCTATCTGCGTTAGTATTTGGTGCTATCTATGTCCAGCCAAGTTATCTACCCTTGAATTCTGACTAATCATGTTTTGTGCTTTGGGTATTTAAAATTACATACATATATATTATTTATTTTTGCCAAAAACAAAAGTCTTGCTCCTTGTCAAATTATTGCTAAAGTAGATCTTACATTTTTTGTTATTATATATGTATTTATACACACCCCCAACACACTTAGTGATTTCTGTTATTTCCCAGGGAGCACAGCTTTCAGGCTATGAGATACAACTAAAACGAGCCCATCTATTTGGTTTTCCAGCCAATTATTGTGCCCACACTTCAGGGGAGAATCTGAAATTCCTGTCATGTTTACAGCAACAATTATCATTCCCGGCTGGCTCTCAGCCTCTCCTTCCATAGGTTAGAATTATGTCATTTTGTTACTTAGTGGCCACATCTATTTCTGAGAAAGACTGGTTACATTTATGTGGCATCTCAGGTATCATTAAGGAAAAGCCAGAGCAGGGGTGAGCAGACGTCAAAACCACTGACGCAGCAGGGCCATTTGCCGCCTTTGACCGGGATCACAACCACTGCAGTCTCCCAGCAGGTAGGCCTTGCCAAGCCTGAGGCTCCCCATCCAGTCTAGACAGAGGGGCGCTCAGAGCAGACTTTGCCGTAGCCCACATCCAGTGAGCACAATAGGAATGAATTGGGCACTCCACTCCCCCCTCTCTCTGGCCCAGTCCTGAACTAGATGAGCTGCATTTCATTGAGCCCATTTTGAAACCTCTTTCCTTATGACTTTAATTGTTACTCAAGTCCAGAGTTCTCTGTGCACTCCTGCTAGATAAGGAGTGCGGGCTCCCCCAGCACTGGCAGCACGCTGGGCGCCTCCCTACACAGGACACCATGCAGTTCCGGGGGAAGCTGACTCAAATCAACCTTGAAATCTCATGAAAACAAAATGACTTGCCTTTTTATTTGATAGTGTAATATCATTCATTTTATAAATTTTTTAGGGTTTTTCTTGTTGTAATATTGTACAGTTTTGCATGGCCTGGTGTGATCATTTTTTGGTTAGAATATAATGCTGACAAATGTGTATGGAGGGGGAAAGATACTGCTTTAGCCTATCCTTATTTTATTTTGTTTGGTTTTATGCCCTCAATGTTTTAGGGAACTTTCTAAGAGATCCTCTGCTACCAAACAATGATGTGGATTCTTTTGCACAGAAATATTTAAGGTGGGATAGTAAAAAATGTCACAAAAGACTCCTCACCAATATTTTATGTTGATATCACTTAATATTAACCAGACTTTGCTGTATTGCAATAAAACAGAGAACTGTTAGCATTGAGTATTTTGTCTTTTTTCCCCCCACTTGAAAGTCTGAGGAATAGAGAAAGGTGCCACCTCTCCGTGTGTCACTTCTCTTCTTTCTGCTGGCTTCCCTCCTCATCCAGGCAGCTTCCTTACACCGTAAAAGGACATGGGGTTAGTTTGCCCCTGTGGTTTAATCTAGGACTTTCTTAATGTCTTCCTTAGCTCAGGTAAGAATGATGTTCAATTCTCCTGAAGCTTTCAACTCCCCTCTTCTGGCCAGAACTTCCCTGTTGCTGTTGCTTCAGTCCACAAGACCAAGCTCTGGCTACATGAGGTTTCATGAGTGGCCCGGACAGTGTGAATGTGGGAGGAGTTTGATTTTGTGTCACTTAAACAAGACTGACTGTTACTGCTTTTCTGGAGTTAACAATGGTGCATCTAAGAACCTACAGGGAAGGTCCAGGGGTGGCATTAAAGGAACTCCTGAACTGGTGGCAGCTAAATAGTTATTCAGAGAACACTTCCGGTTCCAATGGCCCTTGGAATTGACACTTGTGGCTGTTACTGTTATGTTGGTTTGCTATAATGTCAGCTGTGCAGTGCTTTAGAACAGGGCTTGGCAACCCTTTTCTGTCCAGGACGAGTTAGGAAATCCTTGTGCCTTTGTGGGCTGTATATATAGTTCGCTGCAGCCCCCCAGCTGTGGCATTTCCGTGCAAAACAGTCTTAGCCTGCTACATACATGAACGAGAGTGGCTGTGCTCCAATAAAACTTACAAAACCAAAAATGCAGCACGCTGGGCACCTCCCTACACAGGACACCATGCAGTTCCAGGGGAAGCTGACTCAAATCAACCTTGAAATATGAAAACAAAATGACTTGCTTTTTTATTTGACAGTGTAGTATCATTCATTTTATAAATTTTTTAGGGTTTTTCCTGTTGTAATATTGTACGGTTTTGCATGACCTGGCGTGATCATTTTTTGGTTAGAATATAATGCTGTAAACTATATATACAGCATTATATTCCTGTATATAGGAATATAGGAAAATGCACTGGGCCAGATGTGGCCCTTGGACCATCATAGTTTGCCAGCCCTTGGTTTGGTCCCATTAGTGTAGACGGTAAGACCAGACTGTCTTGTTCCAAATTCTGGTTCTACCACTTAACCTCTGGGCCTCTTTTTTTTCCTCTGTAAAAAGACTCACTTGGAGTGTCAGGAGTTAATGTAGAAAAGCACTCAGAATCTAACTTCTAGCCTATGGCTCAGTGTTTTGTCCTTATGAGTAACCACTAAAGCCTACATTAACAAATATTATTTTTGTTATGCAGTGTCCAGCCCTTCACTTAGATGTTAAGGATACGAAGACACAGACCCTGGGAAAATCAAGCCATGATTTGCCATGTTCTCATGCCCCATGTCTCAGTGTGAATGAGTGAGCACGGGGAGTCATGCATCACAATACAGTAAAAATCAAAATAGGTACAAAAGAGTAAGTATGTGTGGCCAGCTTCAGAGCCAGCTTTGCTTGGGGATTAGAGTAATTTGCAATCCAGTGATCCCCACTGTCTTCACAGGGAGGGCTCTAGTCCTCAGCTGGCTGTCAGACTTAGGACACACAAACCGTATTCCAATTTCCCTTAGAAAATCCCTCCTCTCAGCCCAGTGTGGTGGCTCACACCTGTAATCCCAGCACTTTGGGAGGCCGAGGCGGCCAGATCACGAGGTCAGGAGATTGAGACCATCCTGGCTAACACGGTGAAACTCCATCTCTACTGAAAATACAAAAGATTAGCCGGGCATGGTGGTGGGCGCCTGTAGTCCCAGCTACTCAGGAGGCTGAGCCAGCTACTCAGGAGGCTGAGGCAGGAGAATAGCGTGAACCAGGGAGGCGGAGCTTGCAGTGAGCCGAGATCACCACTGCACTCCAGCCTGGGCGACAAAGCAAGACTCCGCCTCAAAAAAAAAAAAGACAATTCCTCCTCTCCCAGCAGTTACGGTCGTGGTTCCTGGGGAAGCAAATGCTGGCTCTCTGTTCTCCTTTCCCTTCCCCCCACCACATGCTGCTGCTTGACTTGTTTGACTTGTTTAAGAGGAAGATGCTATGAGAGCCCTGGCTGGGCCTGGCCTGGGTTCTGCCCCTGCTGTTTACTCTGCAGGGCGTTGGCTTCAGATCTGAGCGCTGCAGAGTTCGCTAAATAACAGCAAATACCCTTACGAGAGCCACAAGAGTTCCAGCCAGGGATCTGCCAGTGGTGCTGGACGCCACTGCTAGCCGGGCAGCCTCACGGACACCACCCGGACCTCTCCATCCTGTCCTGGAGCCCACTGGGTCTGTTACTCAGCAATCCCAAATTTCATAAACTATGTTTTAAGAACCCTGAAAGCCTATACCTCTCAAAGCCTCTTTTGGGCCTCTGTGGTCTGCAGCTGCACTTTCAATGGCTCACAGGTCTGTAGGAAGGGCCCCAGCTCAGTGTCCAGTGTGTCCTGTTACCTAGGAATCAAGCTGGCCCCAGGAAAAGCCACTTTGCAGGAAGTGGTCCTCAACTGCAGCTGATGTCTAGAGAGGAGACGTCTCACTGTGATGCAGACCAGCGTCAGCCCTGTGGGCAGGTGTCACTATCCTCCCAGTTGCCACCATCACCGGGTACAGCTGCTTCAGCAGTGTGGTACAGCCTGCTGGGGGCTGGGGCAGTGACACTACAGCCTCTCCTCCTGTTCTCCACCACTCCCACCACCCTTCTTACAGGGAACGGGGCTGAGCCTTCCAGGTTCGGGGCCAAGAGCCGCACGCTGAACCAGGCCCAAACCTTGCAAATGGGCTGTGACACTGAGCCTGCTCTGACCATCAGGTCAGGAAACCACCACCACCACGAGCTAGAAGATACGGGTCATCATTCTCCAGAATACAGAACACACACGCCAAATACAGAAGTACACGCGCCAAAGCACTTCCCACGAGCATTTTTATTAAATTGCAACAAGTTGATTCGATCATTACAAGACTTGTACAAAAATTCACAGAACCTGTGAGGAGCCTTTGGCTGGAACTGGTGACACCTGTGCCTCTCCAGACCGAGGAAGGAAGTCCCACCCCACTTTCCAGCAGCAGCCAGCCTGTGTCTGGCATTCCCTGTTCTGCTGCTCCCACCCTCACCATGGGGCAGCAGTTCTTCAGAAACATTCAGCTGTCAAAGATGAGAGCCAGCCCTACAGGCCTGGGCCTCACAGGCTTAAGGAGCACTTGTTGGCACTGTTAGATCAGCACCTCTCCCAGCTCCAGCCCATCGGCTGGAGAGGAAAAGGGCAGAAAACACAAATCTCACTCTAGAAACACATACACACACCCCTACTACACAGATAATGAAATCCCACAATTGTATCTGTGTTCATGTTTCTGGGTTTTGCACTGGAACAGAGGTTGGAAGGGAGTAAGGACTCTCCCTTCTGCTTAACATTCACGTCACGAAAAAGAAAACAAAGTTGCCCTTTCATCTTCATCTACTTATTTGAGAGGACACTCAGAGGCAGACTGACTGAGCAGTGGTCTTCATCTTCATTCTTGCACTTCTCACCCTACAACCATTTAGCAACAGAAACCGTGGGAAACACTGGCTATGGGGCTCCAGGCAGCCACCCCCTCTTATTGGGCAAAGGAGTTAAAAAGAGCATCACCACCACCTCCCTACTGGTTTTTGGCCTGTCTGAAGGAGAGAGTTCCCTTGGAGCCGGCCTGGGCGTGGCCCGCAGCCCTACTGCTGGGCCTGCCTCCTGCAGTAGTTGCTGTAGGCCTCCTCGAACATGGCCTTGCAGGGGAAGCGGGCCTTCAGCTTGGAACAGATGAGGAAGGAGCCCCCCATCTTCCTGTGCAGAGAGTAGGTCTCCTCGGGTGGGGGGACGAGACGGTGCCTCAGCATGACGGGAATCAGGTTGTGGATCTTCTCGGTGGTGCTCTGGGTGCCAAAATCAAAGGGCTCATCGGAGGCGAAGGCCTCCCCCAGGATGAGGATGGCATCCAAGTGGGCGTCTTCCATGACCTGGGGCAGGAGAGGAAGGGTAAATGGCGGCGAGACAACAGAGCCCTCCACCAGCCTGGGTTCCTCCCACAGTGCCCAGAGCGCTGAGTTCTCACTCAAAACTCTGCTGTAAACTGGATTACATCACGGTAATGGGCATAAACTCAAACCCACAGGGGCCGGGAACACGAGGGTAACATGAACTGGGCTGATGCAATACAAAAGGGAGTGGTGGGGCCTGTGGCAGAATGCAGAGGATGCGTCCCTCCTCGTGGCACTCATTCCAGGTTTTAACAAAACACTGTTCTGGCCAAAAAGAACAGAGTCCGTGGGCCTGAGCTGGCAGGGCCTCCCACCATGCGTGTCTGAGTCTGCCAGAGTCCACCCAAGACACATCCAGCGGCTGTGTCTGCCCACAGGAACTAGCAGCCTAAGGAACCTGCCAGCAGCAGAGCAGGGGAGAAGAGCTGCCACCAGGGACAGCCTGAGGTGGTCAGAGGGATGGGGGGCCAGGAATCAAGTCAGTGCGAGTGGCCATACGGAAGAGGCGGCAGAGAGCTGCTGCCCGCTGAGGGCTTACAGCTGAGATAAGGGAGGCTCAGAGATCCTGACGTGCCTCAAAAGGCACTCCTACCAGACGGCAAACCCAAGGCTTGACCTGGATTTCTTTAACTCCTTCCCCACTGTCAAGCAGCAAGCGGAAAATGCCGCCTTGTGGGTGGCTTCGGGCGGCACCAGCACAGACGTTCGCCTTTATTTAAAAGGCTTCTGAGGCTTCTTCCGACTCTCCCCACGGAGGCTCGATGAGGGCAGGACTGGGGCTTCCCTTCCCACTTGCTCTGCACGTTGGCTCAATCGAGCCCTGACCCCAAGCCATAAGTGGGCGAGAGTGAGAGGCAGAAACAAGAGCTTCATGACAAGTCCCCTGAGTCCCCAACTCACTGGACCACTCGGAAAATCTCACGCACAGCATGGCGGCATGGGCCGGGGCAGGCCCCAGCTTTC